TTGCAGAACTTTCTACTTCATCAAAGTTGGCTTAGAGAACTATTCTTGCCTATTAGTCGCTCCCTCCCACGACGGACGTTACCGAAGTTGTACTCTCCTTAATATTACAAGTTCGGATTAGACATTAACCACCTATGGGGAATTTGCGCTTCAGTCTTTAAGTCACGATATGAATGTGGTACAGTTGTCGCAAGGAAGGACCTAACGGCAATAGATAGTCATGGCACGAAATATTTGGTGACGCTTGGTCAAGGCATTTACACTCTTTAGAGAAGTGCTACTCATAATCTAATGCATTCCAATTAGGAATAACTACTTGTAGCTCCTCTCCCATATTTTACAGGATTGAAACATTTTAAAATCAGTTATCTTCGGGTTTGGTCAGCAAGTGAAGTCACTTTGGTTATGATGGAAAGTTTACCCTACATCTGATCCGATTACACTAAGTCTATTGTGTCACATATGAGATACTGCTTTCTAATACAAGTGAAAAAGAACAGATCATCCATTATAGCCTATAAACAGCTCAGACAATTATAAACTTTCATTCACCTGACCATAACTTGAACTCTTTTCCCCAAGCGGAATCTCGAATTTTAGGAAAAAAAAACCGTTCAATATATTTGCGTCAATATTGATTTTTGGCAAAATGTTATTTGACTGATAGGAGACTGTTTTTTATACTTGACACTTCTGAAATAAGTGGAAATGCGGGCAAGTCTAATATCGAAGATTCTCAGGGCTACATGTGAAATAAAGGCCACTATTAAGTCAAAAAGTAATATTTTGTTTGAAAGACAACCCCTCCACCTTTGAAGTGTGTCCATTCCAAAATCAATCAAATTTCTCAAAGGGATACTGGTTACCAACTTGTTGACTGATAGTATCACATGTCCTCGAAGGCGTCAAGGTCTAATCCATTTCTAAAAAGAGTAATGCATATCATCGATAGCGAAATATATTAGTTCAGCACAACTATGAGACTCTGCTACCAAAATTGAGCGCTTAACGATTAGAAACTGTATCGCTTTGTTTTAGACTATAAGCTTCGTCACCCAAGTGATGTGTTCGCTATCGCTTGGCAAACAGGTATGCTTCGATATCGCCGAGCGAATTCACAGAGATTTCCAGGTAAAAATGGCTTATATCATTTTTGAGTTGATGAGAACAATATAAAAGATTCGGCATTTCGTTTAGAACTATATGTTCAAGTAGAAAATTGTTTTATATTTGAACATAGTAGAAGAATCGCCAAAAAGGGTGTGGCTGAAGCGAAGCGGGGCATTGCCCTTCAATTGATTTAATTTTTTGCTGCAATATTTTGTGTTTTTTTTGGACAAATACTGAACTATCAACAAAAACCTGAATTGAATTAATTTCCTTTTTACTAATTTTGCGACATTTCCTGACGAAAGGTTCGACAATCGTTTGCCAGTATTGAGAATTAGTAATCAAACTTTATACGTTCAACGCATTACTTTTTTTTTACTTTTGCAAAGATAATTCAGAAAGATTATCACCTTTACCAGCTCCATATAAACATCAATTGTATTAGATTGCATATGACAAAACCCATTCTAAATAACAAGAATAGTGAGTAAAATGGATGTAAGATTTCATTTTTTTTTAGAATGAATGGAACTTGTCAAGAGAAATGACTATTGCCTCAAAAATAGTTCGCTCCAAAAGCTATTGAAAAAGAAATATTTATAATTTGATGGTGAAGCTCTTCTTTTCGAAAAAAAGGAATTTATTGTAATTTTTGGGATGATGTTGTAGTTTCCTCTTCAGTTGTAGAGCTATGAAATTCTTTGTAGTATCAATTTTTCTCTATTTCATGACGTGTAAAATTCATTTTCCTTCTAACATATGCGTCTTGGTTGTTTTGAATCTAGATCCGATTGTAAGCATTCCAACAAGCTCTCGTAATGAGTTTGGGACGCTTGATGGGCGAAATCTTGATTGGCATAGATTGTAATTAAATTTGTCAAGTTCAAATGAAGTTCATTTCAGGCATTATCCGCTGATGATCAAAAGGCACTTAAGGACGCCAACCCAGACGTGCAGTTCTAAATATCGTTGGTTGTGCATATCTCGTGCTATCGGCAGAATTTGAAATTACTGCTGGCTGCTTACCCATGTGTATAATAAAAAATCAACTAATAAATACAATTGCAAATTATCTCTTCCAAAAGAGCGTGGTAAACTTAAAGCAAAAAAAAGAAATCGATCTAGGATGTGACTTTGTCTTGGCTACGTTGATATGGCCTCTGAGAGACTTGAGGTTGGTAAAAGCTTTATTGGCAATTTCGGTAGTTAGTT